CTGGTTCGTCAGAAGCAGCTTAGTCATGCTGGCCACATGCTGTACGCCGGCTCCCTCGGCCAATAAAGCGAGATGAGCGCCGCAACCCCAGAGTCGGCCACGACTGGACCTAATGGTCAGGGGTCCCTTTACCTTTATGTGCAATATACAACGCAACACTAGATGGCGATGGCGAGCCTTATGGAAAATTAAATGTACTTTTAAAAAATGCTTCTTTTTTTAAAAAAATAGCATTTTCAGAATGGTTTTTATATGTGCGTAGATTACACCTTGGTATAAGTCAGTTTCCTGTCTTTCTACATAACATGGGTGCTTCTAGCGACTTGTTAGCCTTGCCAGAATTAGAAGTGGAACACAAATACCTACAGATACCTGCAGCAGGCAGGTTGATGTTGTTTGTATGTGGCGTATTTCCCCCCAAGTATTTGAAAGTGGCTGATCCATGTTGTCCACTTGTAACAGGTACTGATTTCTGTTGTTGGCTTCCTACAGATGTTAGTATTGGTTTTAAGGTGCGATTGCGCTTTGTCGCTTTAATGATTTTCTATGTGCAAACGGCCCAGAGGTTATTTATGACAACTGGTGGTGTAGAAATTCATTGACTATAAGAAAACAAATAAATAGCCTCTCGGTTGAGCATTTAAGCTGCTTTCGTTCTGCAGATGCCTGCAAACTTGAGAGCATGAAATGCTGCAATATGCTTTTTGCCCTTAAAGGTTCTTTTCATTGGCGATTCCACCAACAGAGGGATGATGTATTACTTAATGGAGAGAGTGAACGAGACTCTCCAAGAATGGCAAAAGGCTCATGACATGAAGTTCTATCATAACGTGAACAACGGGGACACTTTTATCAGCTACTCCTATTACCCCCAGTTTTGGATTGATATAAAGCAAAGACCAACTTTCGAAGTGGCTCTCGAGCAGCTGCTACTCAGGTATGATGGAGCGTCTCTTTCCCAACGTATCGTTCCATTTTTGACAGCGATTCACTTGATTTCCTTGCATCCAATGCCTCTATGCTAGCATTTTCTAGCCCATGGGTAGACAATCTAAGGCCCGGGGGCTGGATCCAGCCCCATCACCTTCTAAATCCAGCCCACGGACGGTCCAGGAATCAGCGTGTTTTTACATAAGTAGAATGCATGCTTTTATATAAAATGCATCTCTGGGTTATTTGTGGGGCATTCATAATTTTTTTCAAAATATAGTCCGGCCACCCACAAGGTCTGAGGGGCAGTGGACCGGCCCCCTGCTGAAAAAGTTTGCTGACCCCTGCTCTAGCCACAAGAGGGAAGGAATTATTGAGAGGTTCTAAGTCTCTTGGAGACGCTTTATGCAATTCTTGTATTGATGAGAAGGAATTACTACTTAGGGTGCCAACTATAGGGGGCGGAAGGGGCTTTGGCCCCCTCAATATTTGTGGGCAGGGAGCTGAGCCTCCTAATTTTTTTTTTTTGAGGGGGCTGCCACCCCCTGCTACCAGGCAAGCACTGGCAAGCATTAGTGTATATCCGTGGGATGTTCGGAAGATCACCCTCCATGCACCCCATCCCCCACTGCCAACACAAGAGCATTGGCGGGACACATCACATGATGTTGGGACCCCTCAATGGGGGGGGGCAAGTTGGCAGCCCTGATTACTATAATGCAGAGCTTCAGTAACTGCCTCTAGGTCTTCATTATTATTTTAATTTATTGAATTTATATTCCGCCCTATACCCGGGGGTCTCAGGGCGGTTCGCAGAAAAGATCACAACATATATAATCAGAATAAAAACAACAACCCAATAACACCCTCCCCCCAGAAAAGAGCCCCATTTTAGAAGGGCATAGAATGTACAGGGCACAGACCTACATTGGCTCCCAGTACGTTTCCGAGCACAATTCGAAGTGTTGGTGCTGACCTTTAAAGCCCTAAACGGCCTCGGCCCAGTATACCTGAAGGAGCGTCTCCACCCCCATTGTTCTGCCCGGATGCTGAGGTCCAGTGCTGAGGGCCTTCTGGCGATTCCCTCATTGCGAGAAGTAAGGTTACAGGGAACCAGGCAGAGGGCCTTCTCGGTAGTGGCACCCGCCCTGTGGAACGCCCTCCCACCAGATGTCAAAGAGAAAAACAACTACCAGACTTTTAGAAGACATCTGAAGACAGCCCTCTTTAGGGAGGCTTTTAATGTTTAACAGACCACTGTATTTTAATACTTTGTTGGAAGCCACCCAGAGTCGCTGGGGAAACCCAGCCAGATGGGTGGGGTATAAATAATAAATTCTATTCTATTCTATTCTAAATCAAATCAGTCAAAGGCCTGGTTAAAAAGGAACGTTTTTGCCTGGCGCCTAAAGATGTATAATGTAGGCTCCAGGCAAACTTCCCTAAGGAGAGCATTCCACAGATGGGGAGCCACAGCAGAAAAGGCCCGTTCTCATGTTGCCACCCTCCAGACCTCTCAAGTAGGAGGCACACGAAGGAGGGTCTCAGAAGATGATCTCGGGGTCTGAGTAGGTTCATATGGAAACAGGCGGTCCTTGAGGTATTGCGGTCCTGAGCCGTACATCACACTCTGCCTCTTAGTGATGTATCATCTGACACAGATTTCTTCTTCTTCATGCCCCCCTTTTGTCAGTAGTATTCCATGGGTATTGTGAAGAGGTCACCCTGTAACCTCCTTCGAATTCCAGTGCAATGCTGATATCTTGGCACAAAGCTGAAATTCTCTTCCCTGACAATGTGTGTGCGTGCTGCCTTTGCCAAATGTATATCTAGATTTGTGCAAAATGAAAACGAGAAAAAGTATAAATACTTAATATGTCTCTAATTTCTTTAAGCTTATGTAACTTTAAATGACATCAGCCGTTTGTGGCCAGGAATGGCCTGTAGGGTTGGCTGAAGTGAACGCTTGCCATCTGTTCTGATTCTGCGGCAGGGTATATTTTGCAGTTTTGGCTTTCTTCTTTATTCCAGATCACAGCCGCTAGAGAACACAGACCGGACTATATTAGTTGTCGGTGGTGTCCAATGGCTCAATTTCAACCACTTACATATTATTCAAAAAGTGCTGAAGCGGTAAGTGTCCACGCTACTGTCTTTCGTTGCTGTTCTTACACCAAACTGTAAAATAACTTCCACTTCAGTTCACATGGTGACTTCTCCGTTCCTAGGAGGTTTTCTGGCAGTCATCGTCACAGAGCCCATTCTTCCAGAGGATTTCAGTACCTTTTCTAGTGCTTTGTGCAGTGGTATAGCATGGGGGGAGGCCATAGGAGCAGTTGCCCTGGGCGCAAAATTGTTAGGGGTGCAAAATTTCAACACTCCGTACAGCTGTATGCTTCAGTTGAAAATGGGTTTCTACATGCGAACCGGGAAGTGACCTCTTCTAGGGTTGCCATATTTCAAACAGCGAAAATCTGGTGAGAAAAGTTGTTGAGCTCTTTTTTTGCCCAAAGTTGTTGGACGTTGCTGCAGTATTCTGGGAAAATCAGGACATATGCCAACCTTCCCTCGTATGGAGAACGACTCTTCTTTTATCAGCTCTAGGGCTGTGATCTGCTGGGTGATGGGGATGCCGTTAGACAGTGGAATGTGCATACGTACCCCCTTAATGTGGCCCCGGGCACTGGCAACCCATGCTATGTCACTGCCTCCATCTCTGTCCTCTTGCAAGTTTCATTTTTAGCTTGTGAATTATGAAATGGCATGCATTTCTTTTGTATTAGGGCATGTCTTTTAAAAAAATAAATAAATAAAATTATTAGACAATTTCAACAGAACAAATTATCAATCCAAATAATCAATTACATTATTTCCCCCCTTTTTATTCCCCCTCCCTCTCCCCCTCATCAAAGACTTCCCTCAGCTCCCCTCTCTGATTTGTTTGAATACATTATTCTCTGCATGTTAAAGTTTGTACATATCATTACCTTATCTGTCATATATTCTATTAATAAATTTGTGGATTTTTATTCAAAACCTGCCAAGGAGTCCATGTCATTTTGGTGTGTTTTTTAATAGCTTGTAAAAAGTTCCCAATCTTCCTTGAAGTTACGATTGTCCTTCTCACGTAGTTTATGTGTCAACTTTGCCAACTCTGCATAAGTCATCAGTTTTTTGTATTTGGGCATGTTTTCATTTGTCAGTGCTTTGTTACTGTTGTAAGCCATTTTGAGCTCACTTTGGTTGCTGGGAAGATGTCACACAAATACCAGACAGATTCCAATAAAAAAAACCCCTACTCACCAACATGAGCTACAATTCATTGACAAAACATGATCCGGAATGTATCGTGGGGATAGCCAAGGGCTCGCGAACCCTGTGCTAAACTTTTGATAGCTCATATCCTCAGTATCAAACTGGCTGCTCCCAGAAAAAACAAACATCATTTTATCTGATTCTGCATTGTATGGGACATTATACGAAATGGAGACAAAAGTAATAAGTGTTTATGGTGTTTATGGAGACTAAAGTAAGAGGTGTTTAGGGAAGCTTGTAATGTTTAATAGACTATTGTATTTTAATATTCTGTTGGAAGCCGCCCAGAGTGGCTGGGGAAACCCAGCCAAATGGGCAGTGTATAAATAAATAAATTATTATTATTATTATTATTATTATTATTATACATCAGTTTTTTGTATCTGTAAATAAAATGTGTGTGTTTTATTTCATTTGATCCACAGGGCGAATCTGTCAAATATCCTGGTAGTGATAAAATCCCTGGGAATGGGCTTTCACCTGCCAGTGGATGGAGTGCATTTCTTGTCACCAGTAGGTTACATTTTTTTTCTCCGTTAGGATGGTTTGGCAATTTTATTTTGTTTGACACATTGTTCCTCAGAAGCATGGTGGGGCACGTTCCTGTCGAGCACAGCTGTTATGCCTGTACAACATTATATTTTGCCAGGTTATGTGATGTGCCTCATCCTAAACACGTAGAATTGTACAACTGTAGAGTTGGAAGGGACCACAAGGGTCATCTAGTCCAACCCCCTGCAACGTAGGAATCTTTTTGCCCAATGTGGGGCTTGAACTCACAACCCTGAGATTAAGAGTCTCCTGCTCTACTTACTGAACTAGATGGTGCTGCATGTATCATACAGCCGTACCTTGGTTGTCGGACGGCTTGGCTCTTGAACAAATCAGCTCCCAAACACTGCAAACCTGTGTTCCGGTTTGTGAACCTTTTTCGGAAGCTGAACGTCCGACGTGGCTTCTGCGACTTCCTGCAGCCCAGTGGAAGCTGCGCCTTGGTTTTTGAATTGTTTCGGGAGTCGAAAGGACTCCCAGAACGGATTAAGTTTGACAACCAAGGTACCACTGTACCTTAATTTAATTTTATTTTACTTTTAACTGTATATCTTATATCTTTATTGTTTTAAAATAGATAAATTTATGCCAGGAAAGCAAACAAACCAACAGACAAACATACAATCAAATAAACAAACTATAAACTGACAAACAGACAGTAGCAGCACTGTACCTTAATTTTAACGAGGCTCCCTAAATTGGCTTTAAATCCAAACACTTGGCCAGAAGGAGTTAATGTTTGGCCTGGTTTGGAAGCCCTTTCCCTTAAATCCCGATGAGCAACCTCTCTATGAATATTCAGTGATTAAATAAATGTACTTTGCACCTGCCTAGAGGCCCATTCATATTTTCTGACATCAAGCGATTCAGAGTTGAGCCTTGGCTTTGAAAACAGGTTCTAGGGATAGTTCGTATCCACAATTTAAGCCCCTTCATCCATTCTGTCAACCACCAAAATAAAAACATGTTTATACAGTACCATACAATTATTATCATCTATGGCTTTCAGGCTATGTACCATCTATGCATTTGTTACTGTAGAACAGCTTTACGTACCAAATGTATTAAATCTATTCTCCCAGAGCTTTGGCTAATTAAACAGACTGTGGCCTTTTAAACTGCCAGGGGTGGGCATGGCTTTTGTTTGTTACTATGGTGTGTATTGTTGTGTTTTTATGTTGTAAACCACCCTGTGATCATCGGATGAAGAAATCAATCAATTAAATAAATAAAATATAAAAATAATAAAAATAAACCAAATAAATAACATAATAAAATAATAAATATTAAAAAATTGGAAAATTGTTTAAATGCATGCAATGTGGTGTGGTAGAATTCTGTTTCTCTTCCCAAACTACCACACTTTTTGCATCTTCTCATTTGTGCACATCTGTAAGTTTGGGGTTCAGTTATTTAAAAAGGTGTAACATCTAAGGGACACAATATTTCCCCCTCTGTTCCTCCCTCTCTTTTGAAGAAATACATGTTTGAGCTTAACTATTTGCTGGGGGAAACACTGATCAAATAACTCAAGAATTAAGGTTATATTTTCTCCAGCCCAACGCCTGTACATAATATCCATATGCTTACTGTCCCAAAGAAAGCATGTCTTGATTTAACCAAAAGCTGGATAAATAATATGAGATGACTTGATTTCAATTGCAGGCCGAAGTGCGAGGTCTGTGGAAGGAAAACCAAGCAATTTTGAACACTGCAAAGCAATATGGCTACGAAGTGGTTGATACTTTTATTATTACCATGGGACGGTACAAGGAGTTTTTGCAAGGGAAGTGCGGGTGCCATTTTCACGAGGTAATCGCTTGTCATTTAATCCTTGACGCGAGCCAAGGGCGCCCATGCCAAAGCAAGATTGGGGAGCAATAATTGGGGGGGGGGGGGGCTAAACAAGGCCACAACATTACAGTGGTACCTCGGGTTAAGTACTTAATTCGTTCCGGAGGTCCATTCTTAACCTGAAACTGTTCTTAACCTGAAGCACCACTTTAGCTAATGGGGCCTCCTGCTGCCGCCGCGCTGCCAGAGCACGATTTCTGTTCTCATCCTGAAGCAAAGTTCTTAACCCGAGGTACTATTTCTGGGTTAGCAAAGTCTGTAACCTGAAGTGTATGTAACCTGAAGCTTATGTAACCCAAGGTACCACTGTATTGTGAATAGAGCACCTCTAGTTTGCCATGGCCTTCGGACGTCCCAACTGCTGTCCGAACTAACCCTAAACTGCTTTTGTGGATCCCGCTAGCAAGCTGGGAGTATGGACATTGGCTTGGCCCCACCCTGCACCCCAACTGGGGCAGATGTTTTTCAGCACCCATCCAAGAGCCACATGGCTCCCTCCTGCCCCCTGCTGGAACGGTGGTGCCGAGGGGCCTTGAGACAATTAGAGGGCTATATTTTTGTCAAGTGAGAGATTTACCTAGACAGCATCTTAAAAAACAGAAACATCA